GAAGTTTTGGCAAGGTACCAACTTGGCTTGGAACAAAGGCTACTCACCTTTTTAGAGAGAATGTGGAGCTAGATTTTTAGAAAAGTATAAGGAGAGAATGAAGGTGATCTACTAGGTTAGGTTACAATACCAACAACAAGTGAAAGGTCAAGAATACCCTTACTAACATAAGGAAGTGTAAGGAACAAGGGAACTCCTTACAAAGCTCAATGTACAACTTTGACTTTGGGGTTGACTAGTCAATTACGAGTCCCCAACTATTAACTTTCAGGAATTTAAGGAATTAAATTACAAATTGAAATAGGATTAATTACTCAATTAATCCCTTAATTGAATTTGGATTTCGGGGTGTCACACAAAATAAAATAAATAAATAATTATGTATTCTTTGAAAATGATGACACAAAATGTGTCTGATTTTGGAATCCTTTCTGCTTCTGTGATTCTGTGTAATTGTATGCTGACTGTGAGACTTTTTGGAACACCCCGAAATTTAGAAACTTTTAAAGCTTATATAATAAAGGTGAATTCTCATTAAATCCCAACATGAACATAAGAGTGCGGGGTGCTATGCCACATCTGAGCTGGAAAACTAAGATGCACAGGCAAAACTAACTAAACAACCTCAAAACAATGTCAATACATAATCATGGCATGCAGGCCGAAAGGGAAACTAACTAATCTATGCTCCGGATCACTAGCGCGCTCCGGTGTCTACTCATCCGTGCCTGAACGCCAAATATATCTGTTCAGCGAATGATGCCGGTAACCTACTCCAACGCGTTGAAATATATTATAGATAGATATATATAGATATACGGAAATCATTTTGAAGCAGGAAGATATATATACTTAAGAGACTCTAGTTTTTAAAATCAGGAATGGACTCACCAAATAGGGGTCAGCACAATAATCAATGGTAACAGTTAAGGAGAATCATCATAAAGAATATGCAACTAAGGTCACAGTCTATTTCCACATCAATCATGTAAGCATTCAATCATCATTCAATTATCATTCAATCATCATTGTGACACTCAATCACACTGCTCTGGCTCTACGGGACCAATCGCATGCCCCGAACATGAGGGTTAATGCGTATAGCATTAACACGGCCCCGTAGCACCCTACCTCATACCGCGGCATGAAGGGAGTTGATCGCAACCAACCCATAGAGGACCGCTGACGAACTCAACATCGGACCACAATCCAACACACCGCTGACGCGCACAGTCGGTGGACCGAGATTCCCTTTACAAGGGGGGACTTACGACCCTACACACCGTTGATGCGTACAGTCGGTGGACCGTAGCGGATCAAGCCCGACACACCGCTGAGCTAGACTCAGTCAGTGGACAAAGATCCTCGGAGACTACGGCCCTATACACCGCTGTCCCATCACTCGGCGATCGCAGCCAGCCGTAGCCCGACACACCGCCTGATTACTCAGGTCGGTGGACTACAGCCTTCCTCGGCTTATTGGCCCTACACACCGCCTGGCGCATCCAGGTCGGTGGGTCATAGCACCGAGGCCCATGTGGACCGCAGCCCAAGAAGTGAATCAATTCGGCCTTCAGCCGACTTCTAAGCCTTAGCTCAGGAACAATCCATTTGGCCTTCAGCCACTTCCGAACCTTTAGTCCGGGAACAATCCATTCGGCCTTCTGCTGACTTCCGACCCTCAGTCCGGGAATCACCCAATTGGTCTGTAACCAAAATGGGGGATCATGTAACACATAACACATAGGAGCACGTAATAGCATATTGGGAGGGGAAGACCTATACATAAACTTACGTGTGGTTGTTCACATACTAAGAATAGACCTAAGGGTTCATACAACTTCTACCTAGGTCAACGGCTTACCAATTCTACTAGCATGCAATCCCTAAGACTCATTTAACCTACGAATGGTTCCCGCAACATCAAACTAGACTCAAGCACGACAAACGGGGTCCGTTGGGACACCATGGGGGAGCGGGGAACATTAAGCGGGGAAGCCAAAGACCCGGGGTGGGGTACGGACCAGCGGGTAGCCGGTGGGTAGGGGTCACCCGCCGGCTGCCCGCCGGAAAACACTATCCGGGCAGCTGGTAGGTGGCGGGTTCCCCTACCCCACCTACCCCCACTGACTCTTTTCTTATATATTCGTCGCGGGAACCTTTGTGGAACCCGAAACCATGCTTAGACAGTTTTAAACGCGAATAACGACACCACGTAGGCAATTAACGGATTAAAAGCAAGAATCACGTAGGACTCATCCTATCACGACTTCTAAATATAAACGACACCTGAACATGCGAATTCACCCCCCCCCCCCCCCCCCCAAATATATATCAAGAACATCCCAACACAAATTCCCAATCCAACCTAGGGCTCTAATCCCACCTGAATCATCAAGATCATATTTTATCTTTAACATCAAGAATCACGTAGGACTCATCCTATCAAGATTTGTCAAGGATTATCACATCAATATCAAGAACTTCTTCTTAACATCAAGATCATCAAGATTATCAAGAATGCACATAGATCATCTTATCAATCATCCAGAACATATCACAATTAACATAGAAGAATTTATCAAGACACAAGAATATAGAGGGAGGCCAAAGAAAGAGATTATAGCGAAGAAAATAGGTTTTGTTGAGACATGGGTTACCTCATTCGCTTTTCCATCCAAAACAACGTCAAAGGGACCTGTGAACCAAATCGAGCTTTCACTAAATAATCAAGCTAATAAAATAATTAAATCTTAAGGGATTTGAACCCTACATTTCTCCCAGTGCTATGTATATCCTACCTAACTAGGGAAAACATCCCTTGATCACTTATAGCGTGGTTAAGCCCTTAATTAAGCCAATACTCCGGCTTGTAGGATGAATTTATTAATTAAAAGCAAATGGCTAGAACTCAATTACTTATGCTCTAAATAAAAATCGAACCCTAACTAAGCCATTACTAAACCACAAGCTTTACCATATGTTCTAATCCGCTTCTTGTTAACTAAGGTAGCCCTTGATCTATCTAATAATAACTTTGTAAGGCTAAAGTAACACCCTACTTAGTCGTCGGCTTCATCCTGCCAAAGGCAGCGGGTGACTTCCGGGTGGTCTCACCACCCACCACTTTGCTTGTTGCCAAAGACGGAGGAGGGTGTTCATCGACAATCCACCGCTCAAGCTGGACGAGGGACGCCACCGTATTTTGCCGTCGTCCCCGCCGGACGAAGTCCTGCAGTTGTTGGGTCGCTGCTTCCGTTCTGCCACTTGATCTCTCCTGCGCTTGATGTCGGACAAGGAAGGGAGGTAGGGGCGAAGGTGGGGGCTTTGAGTTTTGTGTTTCGCTTGGAGAAGAAGAAGAGCGAGAGAGGCAAGGAGGAAGGGCATTCGGCTGTCGATCTTGGAAGGAGGGGATGGAGACGTCATCTAGCATGTCGCTACTCTCTCTCTTTCTCTCTCTCTCGTGCATGTAGTTCGTGTACGTATATATATATATATATATATATATATATATATATATATATATATATATATATATATATATATATATATATATACATACTTCGTATTCCAGTATGTATGAATATTATTCTGATTATACATAGCTATTCCTGGTAGGGTTAAGTTACTCAAATGGGCTTGGATGGGCCTAGATGACAAAATCAGTTGGGTTGGGCAATACCTATTGGGCATGTAGGATATATATATATATATATATATATATATATATATATATATATATATATATATATATATATATTTATTGGGTTTAGGATTTGGACAAGGGTTCATGATCTATCGTGGGCCACATTAATCAATTAATAGGAATTAAGTCCTTTTTAACTGTTTTTGACGGAATTAATTACATAATTAATTCCGGGTTTGGAGATCGTAACACGGGGTGTTACACTCTCCCCCCCCCCCCCCTCCCCCCCTTACGGGAAGCTTCGTCCCCGAAGCTTAGGAATCATTTAGGGGATAAAGAGTCACAATTAGTATAGTAGTACATAAAGAAGATGTTATATGGGAGATATATACATATGCACATATAAATTTACTGCGTTTAAGCCTAACTGTTGTGCTAGCAAAATGCATCAAATAATAAGATTATGAATATGCAACTTACATTATGTTAATTTTACGGATGAATGATAACATAACATAGAAGTCTTACACATGGCATGTTCATTGTGTAATTAATTTATAATGATTTAACACATAGGATCACAAGTTGCACCGATCATTTATTTATGTACCTATTTAACAGGCAAATACCACGTGGGTGCAGGATTTGGATAGTCACATAATTAGTATAAAGCACATATGCACATATTTCAAGTCTTTAAATAATAACTAGTCCTATGGAAATCGTAAAACGCATGTATGTATTATTCAACATGTTAGACTAGTGCATGATTAACAATTAAATTCATGTGATCAATGTTGTGACATAACCAAACAATTGTCATATAAATTCAGGAAGGTCATATATAACAATTATTCAAATAGTGAAAATCAGGTTTTGAGGAAAAAATTGTAAGTAGTTTAGGAGGAAGGCTCTTACTTCTTATGTGGTAAATAAATTCTGGGGAGGCAATAGAATTAGTATCTTTATTTTGCATACCATGGATAATGGTGGGTAATCATATAATAAGTATTGGCGCTTATATGCCGTTTGCTTGTAATTAATAGAGTTAATACCCGAAATAGTCCCTTGACTATGCTATAATTACCAATTTAGTCCTCGACTATCATTCTTACCCGATTAAGTCCTCAACTATGCACTCCCTACCCAATTTAGTCCTCCGTTAATTAATCTGTTTGTTGACTGTTAAAATTGAGGGAAAAAATGTAACTCCATAAGTTCTCTCCCCCCTTCCCCATTTAGCAGCCCAAACCTCCGCAAATGAAACTTCGCAGGTTTCATATTCTTCTCCAATGCAGATCACTCCCTCCATGGACAGGTTTTGGAATTTGGTTGATTGGCGTATAATCAGAGAATGGATAGTGAAGCTTCTACTGCTATTAACGATTGCGCTGTTCATGTTGTCAGCAGCTCCAGCAAAAGAAAACATGATAAAGCTCCTAGAAAAATCCACGAGGCTGAGAGGGAGCCAAGCAATAAATTTCCTAGAAAAATCCACAAGGCGGAGAGGGAGAAACAGAAGCGTGATAGTATGAATGTGCTATTCGCAGAGCTAGCCAAAGTTTTGGATCCATCTCATCAGAATTATGGAAAGGCTTGCATATTAAAAGAAACGATGCCGTTAGTGAGGGAACTAATTGTGCAGGTTGATAATCTCAGAAAGGAGAACGCTGCTCTTAATTCAGAATCTCATTACATGTCTGTTGAGAAGGATGAGATAAGAAGAAAAGATTGCGCTGGAAACCCAGATTGAGAACCTGCAGACTGAAATAAACGAAACAATCCGTTCCCAAACTACCAACATTTATAACATTACTTCTCCGCCACAGCTGACAGAGGACCATCTTAGAACAAGTATACATGATTATGCATCATCCTCAGCTGCAGCTACCAGACCCGTTTTGGTTGTGCCTTTACACAATGACCTTCAAATGTACAGCACGGCTGACAACGCAGAGGCTTTGCAGAACCTCCCACCCAGTGTGAGTACTGAGTAGACCTCGCCCACGATACCCATCACCCTAGCTCGGATTCATGGCCATCTCGTGTGCTCAATGTGGCATCAAGCACAATAGAGGATAAAACCACATCATCACAGATTCACAGTGACCCTGCAACTCCATGTGTAATTGATTGTTCGGTCTCAGGAATCTCTAATTGCTCAACTAATTAGTGTAAATGTGGTTATCGTTCTTGATTTCTTCCGGTTTTAATTGGGTTGCTTTCTTTAAAAAAAAAAAAAAAAAAAAAAAAAAAAAAAAAAAAAAGAACAAGAAGAAGGTTGAGCGTTCACCGGACGGGCATATCACGGAGATCGTGTATAAGGGCGTGCATATAACCCGAAAGCTCAGGCGACGAGTCTCTGGTGATCGCCGCCGTCGTTAGGAGCGGAAAGCTGTTCGTCGGAGACGATGGGCCAAGGGGGCGGATCATCTTGTTTCAGAGCTCAGGCTCCGATTTGGGCGAACATTCAGCACTATGGCAGCATGCCGGAAAGAACAACGTTGGCATCGAGCAGTGATCTGACGGCGGAGATTTGCGATCTGCTGTCTTCGTTGACGACGAGATCGGCGGCGGTGGCCATGAGTGAGTTTGAATCGGCAGCAACCCCTGAACCTTCATCTACACTTGCTAGTCAAGATTGTGATGATAATGAAATTTACAGTTTTGTCCTCAACTTTAACAGTCAACAAACATATAACTTAATAGAGGATCAAGTTGGGTAAAGATTGTATAGTTGAGGACTTAATTGAGTAAGAATAATAGTCAAGGACTAAATTGGTAATTATGTCATAGTCAGGGGACCATATTGGTTATTAACTCTAATTAATAATATTGCATATATGCATAGTGGGATGCCTTATAACATACCGTTTTTGTCTAGCTTGCTTTGTATATGTACATGAATGTGTGTAAGTGTGTCTTTTGACATAAACATGCGAGCTATGTGATTTAACATGCAATACATATGAGAAATATAAATTTCGACCTATAAATGGGATCATGCAATTTGCATACAAATATTCTTTAATAATTATGAGTAAGATAGCCTAGGTTCACAGGTAGTAAAGGTTTTATCTTGAGAACTCTTGACAGAATTGAATCACACAAGCACTTAGGAAAATTAGCTTTATCTCGGGGGTAATTAGATTTTAGGTAGGCATAATTTTTACCTCTAGAAGCCCAGAATACCTAAACAACTTAGAGTTGAAGACCCTTGATTGCTAATGCCTAAATTAATTGATGACCTGATGATGAGGCTAAAGTTTTTAATTATTTAGGGAAGGTAGGAGTGGTAACAGGGAGGTCATGCGAGGGGGAAAAGTAGAATTAGGATTATCTCAGGATATGTGTTTGTATACATATATGAGTGATGTAATTTGTACGGAATGATATTTCAGGGTTAGGATATGCTAAGGGCAACCTCATGGATGTATATAAGATTATCGTAACTGGGGTACATGTGTATGGTTCGGGGCTGGGGATATTATTGTATATAATATGACTGTAACAATTTATACATACATACATACATACATACATATATATATATATATATATATATATATATATATATATATATATATATATATATATATATATATATGAGTGGGGGGGGGGGGGGGGTCTCCTTATCTTAGTGGTAAGGGTTCTAAACAAGGTATGGGAAGCTTGTGGTCTATATAAGATTATCGTAACTGGGGTACATGTCTATGGTTCGGGGCTGGGGATATTATTGTATATAATATGACTGTAACAATTAATACATACATACATACATACATACATACATACATATATATATATATATATATATATATATATATATATATATATATATATATATATATATATATATATATATATATATGGGTGGGGGGGGGGTCTCCTTATCTTAGTGGTAAGGGTTCTAAACAAGGTATGGGAAGCTTGTGGTCTATCATGCAACATGGACCAAAGTCTAGAGGGATAGTTTTAAGATAGTTTAGGGACGCAATATATTTTTCCAAGGATAATTTCTAGATGACCACTTGGTTTAGGTTCCTCGGATTTCTATCGGTCTCACTCAGATTGACTTTCGGGTCAAAGCTTAATATGCAATGTATTCGAGGTTTTAGATTTTCTAGAAATAGAATTACACCCTATGATTTCTGTGTAACTTATAAACAACTCAATTAGGAAGATAATTCGACTTTCATGTTCAAGCATTAGATTGTTATTTAGATGTTAAACACATAAGAAGTATCAAGGGAGCACATTATTATGACACTAACAAGGAGCACGGGAGACTTCAACTAGATATCATAAGGATCACACACCCCATTCTCCCCTTCCTAATTAAAGCTATGTTCCCCAAAAATGCAAACTCATGTAAGTACTTATCGGGCTATTAGTGAGTTAACTATATTGGTCAATTATGATTAGGACAAGTGAGCTCTTTATAAGCCAAATAACATTACCAATTGCAAGTTCCAGAATACTTTATCAAGCAATAGATATCTAAATAATGCATGTTTGATCAAATAGTTTAAGCAATAATATGCAGTTCCTAACTTGGTCTAAAATCAATTAGGAACATATGTTTAAGTAAATAAACAAGTATGATAATCAAAGAGTGATAAGCAACAAAGCGGGTAAAAGCATGCAATGATATCACAGATTTCTAGGGCAAGTATGTGGAATGAAGAGTTAGTGTGTTGTACCCTTACCTTGATGTGATAAGGGAAGGGGGAAATTTTTTTAAATTAATGAGGGATAAAGTGAGGGGAGTTTATGTGATGATAGGTAGGCTCACAATCTCACCGTGCGTCCTAAGATTCCTGAATCCTATGTTCCTAAATACCTAGAATTCAAGCATAATGTCATAAAGTCTGGTCTTAAGAGTCTTACCCTAGGGTCAAACTTAGGCTCTGATACCAACTGTAACACCCCGAAATTTTGAAACTTTTAAAGCTTATATAATAAAGGTGAATTCTCATTAAATCCCAACATTAACACAAGAGTGCGGGGTGCTATGCCACATCTGAGCTGGAAAACTCATATGCACAAGCTAAACTAACTAAACCTCAAATCAATGCTAATACATAATCATGGTACGTAGGCCGAAAGGGAAACTAACTAATCTATGCTCCGGATCACTAGCGCGCTCCGGTGTCTACTCATCCGTGCCTGAAAGCCAAATATATCTGTTCAGTGAATGATGCTGGTAACCCACTCCAACGCGTTGAAATATATTATAGATAGATATATATAGATATACGGAAATCATTTTGAAGCAGGAAGATATATACTTAAGAGACTCTAGTTTTTAAAATCAGGAATGGACTCAGCAAATAGGGGTCAGCACAATAATCAATGATAACAGTTAAGGAGAATCATCATAAAGAATATGCAACTAAGGTCAAAGTCCATTTCCACATCAATCATGTCATCATTCAATCATCATTCAACTATCATTCATTTAATTGTGACACTCAATCACACTGCTCTGGCGCCACGGGACCAATCGCATGCCCCGAACATGAGGGTTAATGCGTATAGCATTAACACGGCCCTGCAGCACCCTACCTCATAACGCGGCATGAGGGGAGTTGATCACAACCAACCCATAGAGGACCGCTGACGAACTCAACGTCGGACCACAATCCGACACACCGCTGACACTCACAGTCGGTGGACCGTGATCCCCTTTACAAGGGGGGACTTACGACCCTACACACCGTTGATGCGTACAGTCGATGGACCGTAGCGGATCAACCCCGACACACCGCTGAGCTAGACTCAGCCGGTGGGCAAAGATCATCGGAGACTACGGCCCTACAAACCGTTGTCCCATCACTCGGTGGATCGCAGCCAGTCGTAGCCCTACACACCGCCTGATTACTCAGGTCGGTGGACTACAGCCTTCCTCGGCTTATTGGCTCTACACACCGCCTGGCGCGTCCAGGTCGGTGGGTCATAGCACCGAGGCCAATGTGGACTGCAGCCCAAGAAGTGAATCAATTCGGCTTTCAGCCGACTTCTGAGCCTTAACTCAGGAACAATCCATTTGGCTTTCAGCCTTAACCAAAATGGGGGATCATGCAACACATAACACATAGGAGCACGTCATAGCATATTGTGAGGGGAAGACATATACTTAAACTTATGTGTGGTTGTTCACATACTAAGAATAGTCCAAAGGGTTCATACAACTTCCACCTAGGTCAACGAGTTACCAATTCTAAAAGCATGCAATCACTAAGACTCATTTAACCTACGAATGGTTCCCGCAACATCAAACTAGACTCAAGCACGACAAACGGGGTCCGTTGGGACACCATGGGGGAGCGGGGAACATCAAACGTGGAAGCCAAAGACCCGGGGTGGGGTACGGACCAGCGGGTAGCCGGTGGGTGGGGATCACCCGCCGGCTGCCCGCCGAAAAACACTGTCCGGGCAGCGGGTAGGTGGCGGGTTCCCCTAGCCCCATCTACCCCCCACTGACTCTTTTCTCATATATTCGTCCCGGGAACCTTTGTGGAACTCGAAACCATGCTTAGACACTTTTAAACGCGAATAACGACACCACGTAGGCAATTAACGGATTAAAAGCAAGAATCACGTAAGACTCATCCTATCACGACTTCTAAATATAAACGACACCCGAACATGCGAATTCCCCCCCCCCCCCCCCCCCAAATATATATCAAGAACATCCCAACACAAATTCCCAATCCAACCTAGGGCTATAATCCCACCCGAATCATCAAG